TATCTATGTATGTATGAATATATGTAAAATTTGAAATATATTTCTTCTAATCATTGTTCATCCTATCCCCTTGTTTTCATATATTTTTATATTTTATGTAAATATAGACTTAAATGTTATGTGAATATATACTTCAAATATTATGTGAATTTATACTTAAAATAATATGTGAATATGTTATGTGGGCACCTCGAATCGGTGTAACGGTAAACAAGCTTGTCATTCTAGAACAATTACAATTGAATAGTGAGTTCGATTCTTATTGGGTGCCCCATACTTTCGGCCTTGTGCTACAGCTACGCTTGGAAAATCGATATGTGAATATATTATGTGAATATAGACTTAAAATGTCATTTGAATATATACTTAAAATTTTTAAAGCCATAACTGTAAGAGAGAATTTTAAAAGAATCATGTTGTGTATGAAAAACGAATGAAATATTTTTATGTGTCTTGATATTAGTCACCTTGAAAATGTTGTCACAGAATTTGATCTAATGTGTAATAAATGTGATATATTATTTTTCTTATATATTTTTGATTCAACACTTTATAGTTTATAATTTTATTCTTATCCTTGTCCATTCTCTATGGTTGTTTTAATATAGTTGTATATATCATGTGAATATAGACTCGTTCAATATGTTCGTTTTTATACCCACAATGGATATTCCATAAATACAGTTTAGAGCAGGCAAACTTATAAGTAATACTAAAGTAAACAAATGATTCTATCGTATGATTCATGAGAACCAAAATCAATTTCTTCTTTAAAACATTGGTAATTAGAAATATATTAACCGAATTACCTGCACCTTGCTGCGTGTCACACATTTTTGTAAGAAAATGATGATTGATTTTAAATGTGTAGAGAAAAATGATGTATTTCAATATTACTCAATGATCTTGCCAATGTGACCTCCATCTTCTGGATTTCTCTTTTTATATTTTGGATAAGATTCATTTCGTTCTTCATATTTAAATTTAATTGAAATCCAAGGAAAAAACAGTGTGTGGGATACAAAAACAGCTTGATCTGGCCTCTTTATTATATATTTGATGCAATACTTGATTGAATAATGATCAGATTTCAACATTGATATGACAGTTGAACTATCGCAAAATATATGTATTGGAAGTCACTACACACTGATTGGTAATTTCTTGCTCAAGCTGGCGTTCATATTTTCTCATTTTGAATTTTATGATGTAACTTCCATCTTCTGGCTTTCTCCTTCTATGTTTTAGAAGGGAGTCATTCCTTTATTGAAATTTAAATTTGATTTAAATCAAGGAGATAAAAAAAAAAACAATGGGAAGTTTGTGTCCTACTCCCGGGACCCGCTTTGATCAAAATGTAATACACTTTAAGTACTTTAAGATTCATTCCCTTGTTCAAATTTAAATTTAATTCATATAAAAGGGAAAAAAAATTTTAGTTGGGGGGGGGGCATCTGGTGACCCCCTTTATCAAAATTAATTAAACTTATCAAGTAATGTAGTTTCAGAATATATGTAGTTATGCGTGTCTATCTCCAAAACCCTAGGAGTTCGATAACAAAGAAACAGACAAAAGTTACATAAATAGATGTACTATAAAACACTGAGGCTATATATAAAAAAAAAAACAAAAAAAATAGAGGCTATATTTATAGACGTACAATAAGAAAATGCATACCCTTCATTAAATGTAACAGACTGGCGCTGCCTAATCGAAAAGGTCCGCACCAAATAACAGACGCCATGACTTTCAACAGCGGCAAAAAATAAAGTCGATATTCCATGTAACTTAGAAGAGAAAATAATGAATACTCAAGATTTTAACTTCCCACACTTCCTTAAAAAAAGGATATGAAAAGAACGACAAAATTTTGTATACCTGACAACTCCTGAAAAACTATTTCAAGAAAAAAGATTTGAATATTCTTATCCGTTAATATTCTTTTCGCTGATCAAACGATTGTCTCCTGATGAGATGTTGGCTGAAAGGGCCCTAGAGACTTTTAAAATTAAAATCAATACATTCCTTGTTTTTAAAACTATATAAAAAAGATTTTATATATTTCAGTGTTCGGTTGTTAAATGTCGAATGTTTCCATATAAAGAAAAAAAGCTATTATTACCATTACAATTTCTATAACCTAAATCTTTACGAATTTGAAAAGTACAATAAAAAACCTAAAGTATATATAAAGCTCTCTTTGCTGACCTACCCAGATACTTTATGTTAACGATCGGTCTAATATCATTCTCAGAGCAGATGATGAAGCAATTGCAAAAATCTAGGTGACGAGAGCCGGCAGCTGACTTTTTCACTGACCTTTGATCTAACAGCCAAATGGCTATTTAATGCTGCCAAATGGCTATTTAATGCTGCAAAAACAAAGTTCAAGATCTCTCATCATTTCCGAGAAAACCCTCAATTTTAACTTATAGTGATGAATGGTCGTACGCTCAAAGATGCACCTTGCATTTATTGGACGTCTATTGGAACTCAGGTTTGCACGAAACCTCAAGTGGAACTCATATTTTTATCATTTCACACCAAACAAGACGGGAATGCCACTAGTACGTTTGGAGTTACAGGGTTTGAAAATGAATGAGAAGACTAAGAATAGAGAGGATTGAGGAAAGGACAAACATGAAGGGGGTTCAAGAAAAAAGTAGATGTCGTACTTTGTATTTAAGTTTATCGCAGTATTATACAATGATACTTATTGCATTTATAATAATGAAAGCATCAGAATGAATCTTCTATGATTGTCAGCAAAAGGAACAGTCCAACGTGGAAATTATCAAATAGAAATGCGAAAATCCAGCAAGTAAAACAATTTGAATATCCAAAATGTGTTTTGACAGAGGAAAGAAAATGCAAAACTGAAATTCGAAGGTGTTTTGAAATTGCGAACTATGCCTTCCAAAAACCAACACAAAAAAAACAAAAGCGTTAAAAAAAGAGGAAAAGACTACTGAATTGTTTTGTAATATCGGTCTTCTTATATGGCAGCATTTCGTTTGTTTTTTTTTTAAATTGTAGCTATCAAGGAATTAAGTAAGCGAAATGCAGTTTCCAAGCTGACAATTGCGAGAAAAGACATTGCTTAGATAGAAGTGGCCGTTGCATTTAGCTATGACAACCGTAAAAGCGTTAGACCTAGATTCAAATCTAATAAAAATTCATGTAGTCAAGACACCAGAATAAAAACCTTATTAGAACATGTGCCATGAAAATATTTGTAGAAAAGACAGATGGATCAGTAAAGAAGTGACTGAAATCCTTATATATACGATCCATCGACATGCTCTAACTTTATAAATGTCAGATTAGACCAAAAAAGGAATATCGCTACCATATGCTAGACTATTGACCGCCGATCAACACTTCTCAGTTCAGAAATGCTTACGCGGCCTTGTGGGCAATGGATTATTTTCAATGTACAACCCCTTCACCACAAAAGAAACGTAGCAAGACTCACTATTCTATCGTATTTTACGTGGCAAATATTCTGACGCTGTACATTCCTTAGGCCCATCCGTTCAGACCTTCTCAGCGCCCGTCATGCCTCTTACTTTAGAAAGTTTTAAATTTGGCATATTCCACGAAAAAGAGCAGAAAGAGCCTTCAGATATTCCCTTCGATTAGGGGACATATACAACTGTTCGTAGAATGCGAAACGTAAGCGAATGAAAAATTTGCACTGAGAATTTGCGAGTAGTAAAGCAACGTAAAGATTGCGAAATAATAATAATAATAATAATAATAAATATTACTATTATTAAAAGCTAATATAGAAAATATTTTAAAAATGAAGCACGCTAAGAGGAACAGAATTAGTAAAGACGAGATTTTTTTTCAATACATGAATCATCTTATTCTCCTCTTTTTCCGTTTGCAAAAAAGACGTTCCATTCGGATGGCTTCTTTCCAGGAACGGCTACTTTATAGAAAAGATTCAAGTAGATGCTACAATCTTAACCTCGAGTCGACCGTTATTCTACATACATATCCTCAAGATCTGTTTTTCTTACATCCACTTCTCACGTTCATACAACAAATTAATTTATTTATTCTATACCTCGAGTGGCGCTTGGAACTTGTATTAGATGAACAATTAGTAAAAAAAAAAATGCAAGTTTTATAAATATTAGAATATTTTAAACGAGTCCTTTGTATTTAAGTTTATCGCAGTATTATACAATGATACTTATTGCATTTATAATAATGAAAGCATCAGAATGAATCTTCTATGATTGTCAGCAAAAGGAACAGTCCAACGTGGAAATTATCAAATAGAAATGCGAAAATCCAGCAAGTAAAACAATTTGAATATCCAAAATGTGTTTTGACAGAGGAAAGAAAATGCAAAACTGAAATTCGAAGGTGTTTTGAAATTGCGAACTATGCCTTCCAAAAGCCAAAACAAAAGCGTTAAAAAAGAGGAAAAACTACTGAATTGTTTTGTAATATCGGTCCTCTTACATGGCAGAGGATGTTGGACAATCTCATCACCAATTAACAAGAAACTTGAAGCAACAGAAATGTGGTTCTACAGATAGATATGAGAATACTATGGACCTAACATATTAAAAGCAAGAAGAAAACAGTACATAACCTACTTATCTATTTTGTGTAAACGGTTGGCAAAAACGAATTTTAGGAGTGATATCAAATGACAGGTAATTGTGGGGAACGATGGTCGCCAACGTCACGAAGGGCATGGCACATAGAAGATGTGTATTAAAAACGAGTTTGAATGGTTGTCTAAATGCACATCTTTTTATGTTCGTCGATGCAAGCGTTTAGATTCTTTGATATCTTTGATATAAAAGCTTTTGGAGTGTACGCCATTTATTTGATAAGTACTTGCATCTGAATTGGTGCTGGATATATTTTTCTTACTAATTGTATCACCGATTTTCTTAGATGTGGTGGTAAAGATTAACTAATTTATTTACAACTTTTTAGAGTTTTAGAGGGTAGGATTATGGATTTTGTGCTGCTAGAAGTTGTAGATAGATAGATAGATAGATAGATAGATAGATAGATAGATAGATAGATAGATAGATAGATAGATAGATAGTGATCTTCGAACCCGGAACTCATAGATAGTAAGCGAACGTTATATAGATAGATAGATAGATAGATAGATAGATAGATAGATAGTGATCTTCGAACCCGGAACTCATAGATTGTAAGCGAACGTTATATATATATATATATAGATAGATAGATAGATAGATAGATAGATAGATAGAATAATTTAATGATCGCTAGGCGTGAAAAATATATACACGTGTATGTGTGTATATTGTTTATCATTTGTTATATTTATGGGGTATACGATATTGGAGAGATACCTTTTGTAATATGGTATAATAATTGTTTCAGGCGTGAAAATAACTGGACCCATGCACTATTAAACACACACACACACACACACACACACACACACACACACATATATATATATATATATATATATATATATATATATATATATATATATATATATACCTGAGTGTATGTTATTTTATCCATTTATCATTCTACATATTTACCAACTTGTCTTTCTTTGTCATTTCTGTTTCAATACATTTTTATTGCAAAACCCAAATGCACACTGACTCTATTCCTCTTTGCATATTTCCTTTTTATGATAGCTTATCATCATCATCATTATTATTATTATTACGATTATTATTATTATTATTGTTATTATTATTATTATCATTATTATTGTTATTATTATTATTATTATTGTTATTATTATTATTATTATTATTATTATTATTATTATTATAGTTGTTGTTGTTTCCAAATCTTTATGATTCTTTCGAAATTCGCTACCCGCAAATTCTCACCTACATTTTCATTTTCTCTCAACTCGCACTCTACAACCCCTTTTATCTGTCCCCTAATCCAAGTGAATATCTTAAAGCTTTTTTGCCCACCATAACGGAATATGCCGGAATGAAATCATATCCCGCAATAGGAAACAGATTATTTCGGTAATGTCGGAAGATATGGGACCGAGCTACAGACAGGAAAAGGACAACGTCCCTGTTGAAATAAATGGGTTAGGGTTTATATTGATGGGTGTTGTTGGTCCGCTTAGATAACAGGGGACTCTCAAAGAGAGTGGTTGGAAAGATAGCAACACAAAGATACCGAAAAAAGAATATGAAGCTTTATTGAAAGACAAAACGGAAGAGTGAGATGCTAGCCTGAGTAAATGGCTAGCAAATGGAAGTCAGAAAGGAGAGATAAGCAAGAAGTTGGAAATATGGGGAAGGACGAAAGAAAATGCAAGAAGTGTTGATTGTTGGTAAGGATAGGGGAAGAAAGAAAGAAAGAAAGAAAGAAAGAAAGAAAGAAAGAAAGAAAGAAAGAAAGAAAGAAAGAGGAAAAAGAAAGAAGGAACAAACAAAGAAAAAAGAAAGAACGTTAGGAAGAAATTAAGAAAGAAAAAAGAAAAACAAATAAAGAAAGAACGAAAGAACGAAAAATAACGGAGCGAAAGAGAAAGAATTCAACACTAATTAGTAATGGATAAAGAAAAGAATATATATATATATATATATGTTGAGGAAGAAAAAAAAGAAGGAAAACACATAAATAACAAACAAACAAACAAAAAAGAAAGAAAGAAAAAGAAAGAAAGAAAGAAAGAATATTAAAGTGGGCGAGAAAGAAGTAAGCACTAATTGATAAACGAAATAAAAATATAAATACATTGGGAAAGAAAGAGAGAAAGAAAGAAAGAAAGAAAGAAAGAAAGAAAGAAAGAAAGAAAGAAAAGGAGGAAAGAAAAAGAGCGAAAGGAAATGACGAACTTGAAAACGACAAAAATAAGAAGAAAAATACATTAACAAGAAGGAATAAACAAAAAAAAAAAGGACGAAAGAAAAGTATGTTTCTAAAAATAAATCATTCAACATGGTTTTAAAATAAAGATAGAAGAGTTATAAAATGAATGAACGGACCAGTAAAAAAAAGAAAAATGTAAATGTTGATACAAATAGAATATGCTTTTAAATTGTTGACAATACAGAAGTTTTAGAAAAAATGACCAAATGTAGCAGCTGATTGCTGGATGAAATTCTAGTGATGCATTGAGGCTAAGGGAATATGAAAAAAAAAAATTCGATGCGCGTAGCAGAGTCCAAGTTTTTCCTGTCCATTTGCCAGGCGGAAGACCTTCAATTAGGCGCGTACTCTTTTCAACAGACAACTCTTCTAGTGACATGAAGACACTGAAACTGTCACATCTGATCGTCTGCTTTGTCCATTTCTCAGCAGAGAGATGGAAAGATGTAAAATATACCAAAGAAAGAAAGAAAGAAAGGAAGAAAGAAAGAAAGAAAGAAAGAAAGAAAGAAAGGAAGAAAGAAAGAAAGAAAGGAAGAAAGAAAGAAAGAAAGAAAACGAGAGAAAATTATACGATAAAAAGAAAGGAGAAAATACAAAATGAAAACAGGAACAAAGAGGCTTGTGAAAGAAATGACACATAGAGAATAAGACTGAAATAAATAAGGGAGAAAATGAAAAATAACAAGAAAGAAAGAAAAATAACGAGGGGAAAAAGGAAATAATAATGAGAAGAAGTAAATAAATAAATAAATAAATAAAGAATGAAAGAAAGAACTGAATAATTAAAAAATGAAATTGATAAGAGTGAAATACAAAAACACACTTGAATGCGAATGAAAAAGTGATGATGAAATGAAGGAATGTAAAAAAAAAGTAGAAAAGAAAGCAAGAAAAAAAGGAACAAACAAACAAGGAATGAAGGAAGGAAAGAAAGAAAAGAGAGAGAAAAAAATTATCGGACAAAAAGAACAGAGAAAATTAAAAGCAGAAAAAATAGGATTTACAGATTAACAAAGACAGAAACATGAGAGAAAATTGGAAATAACAAGTAATAAAAATAACGCGAGAAAAGAAGAAATAATAAAAAAATAAAGAAAGAAAGAAAGAAAGAAAGAATGGATTAATGAATGAAGAAAGAAAGAAAGAAACAAACAAACAAACAAACAAGGAATTGATGAAAAAAGAAAGAAAGAAAGAAAGTAACAAGGAACGGATGAATGAAGAAATAAATAAATAACGAAAGAAAGAAAGAAAACAAGGAATGAAGGAATGAAGGAATGAAGAAAGAAAGAAAGAAAGAAAGAAAGAAAGAAAGAAAACGGACAAAAACTAGGAAAGAAAAACAAGAAAAAAACAGGTTGTGAAACAATTAACACCAGATAAAAAAGAAAAAAAAAATGAAGGAGAAAAGATGAAATAATAAGAAAGAAAGAAAAGAAATGATGGAAATAAATGAAGAATAAATGAATGAAGATAAATAAATAAATATATCAAAGGGTAAAAGAAAGATAAAATAGAAAATGAATATATGAATAAAAATTGCAACGTAAAAAAGAAAGACAAAAATGGAAGGAATGAAAAGAAGAGAAAATAGATTAATATTATTGTTGAAAATAACGAAAGAAAAGATAAATAATAGTTTGAATATGACAAGAACGAAAAGTAGAAACAAAAAGTAAAACGTAAGCTTTATTACAAGAAATAATAAATACAGATATGAATAAAATTAAAATTACACGGCAGTGAGAGAATCCGTTATGAAGTAGCCCGCGCGAAAAGAAAACCTGGTGATCGTTCTAGCCTCACTTTCATTCGGTAACGGGAGCCCACATATTCCTAAGTCATTTTATAAAAAGATTAACGTAAGTAGATAAAATGAGAAAGAAAAGGGAAAATATTGCAACTTAAAAGATGCATAAAACAATAAATATGAGGAAAATAAAAGATAAAAACTAAATAAATGTACACCTGCTTTAAACGAATTAGGAAAGCAGCTGGAAACGAGATAAATTACCCTTCATGTTGTATTTATATTGTGTAGTGAAGGATTAGAAATTCAACAGTCACAGAACATATTGGAGATAAGCGTGAAAGAGTCAAAACGGCGTGTGTCCTAACTAACGAATTTGTGTAAATGGTTGGCAGAACAGGGAATGGGAAAGATAGTAAAAGGAAAAAAAATATTACTACAAAGCTACAAAGTATAAGAAATTGTCGACACTCAGGATCACCCATGTTCAGAAGGGATACAGCTCTTAGAAAAGAAAACTCCTTTATTCGTCTGTTTTCAAAAATCATTGGAATAAGAAGTTATGACAAACAAATGTAAAAACAAATGAACAGTGTTTCAAAGCGTTTTAGGCAAACTCGTTGACGTCACACACAATGGTTACATCATCACAAATTTAAAGCTGATTTTGTTGGAGGATCCAACGACCCAAAGTCAAAGTCAACTTTGTTTGTATTCAGATTTTCTTTCTCACTTATTGCTGCCACATCAAGTATATATCGTTTATACTCGCGTATCATACGACTTTTGAAATCTAATTTTAAAGCAAATTTTAATGTAGAATCATTCACGAGATATATACAATTAGCACATGTACTGCTGGTCCAAACGCTAATTTTATATATCGTTTGTGATGCAACCCGCTTAAAATTAGCTTCAAATTTAGGTCTTCAAAAGTCGTATGATACGTGGTATTTTTTTCTCAGATCAATGAATAAATCGGAAGAAACCTGAAGGTCTTAAAAAGAAGCTTTTCATTTCTCGGATTGCATAGACTAACACCCCAGAATCACAAATAAATTTACCAAATAACAAATGAAACAAATCACTTGAAGATTTCCAACAGCAGCAACAAGGAAAACGGATATTCTGCAACGAGAAGCGAAAATAATGGCATAAGGAACGTTTTGATTCTACCCACTATCTTAAGCAAAAGTTTAAGAATGGATACAATAGAAAGAGCATTTTGTTAATAATGTTCGCCCTATACAAAATCCAAGTTTCCCTGTCGGAGGGGGCTACAGAATACGCCGACTGCACATCTGCAAATGGGTAAGCCACCCTCAATTAGACATCCTGGGTATAAAGATAAACTACATCCGACAGAAATTTCTCTGATCAGGTGGTTTTGAGAAGCGTAGAAATATTTCATAACTGCTGGTCTGTTAGGGTCCCTGTTATAGGAAAATAGTAAACGACTAACCTGGGGTCAAAACACTATGGACGTATAAAAATAGGCTTTAATACCAACAATACATTTTGGAAAAAAAGATTATTACCTGCAATACATTATTATCAGCAATACATTATTATCAGCAATACAAATTTTTGGAAAAAAATGTTATTCCCAGCAATACATTTTTGGAAAAAAAAATTATTACCAGCAATATATTTAAATGAAAAAAATTACCGACAATATATTTTTCAAAAAAAGTATTACCACCAATACATTTTTGGAAGAGAAAATATTACCAGTAATACATTTTGTAAAAAAAAAATATTATTAGCAATAAAAATTTTGTCAGCATTAAATAACCCATTGAGGTTGATATACAGTAAAACAAAACAAATGAATCCAAACCAAGAACCAACATCCACTCTAGGTAATAGATTACCGAAGGAACTTGTTATGTTAACGGTAAGAGTTAGAGGTAAGATGTAAGAGGCACAGTTTATGAGGATATGTGAGAAAGAAAACGGTTAATTCTAGACTTGAACAAAGTTAAGATTCTAATGTTCAGAAAAGTATCCTATTGGTACTAGATTCCATAAGTTCGTGGGACGGAGCTAATCGAATGCTACTTACTCCACACCAATTCAGGCCGGAAATTGAGTTCTTCAAATCATAAACCCGGAGAAATTCAATTGATTTTTCTTCAAATCGCAATGTGCATAATTTTAAAACCTTATGTCAGGAAACCTCACACATGAACCCTTGATTCCTTAACATTTTGAAGAAATTAAATTGATTTCCTCAATTCAAAAAGTTTTGGAGATATTTTAAATTGATTTTAAAGCAAAAAAAGCTAAATTCACAATGTTTTTGTGTTACTTTAAACTCGCTATGGATTAAACACTTTAAAAATTACTTATTTTTCCAGTTATTTTAAAATTGGAATATTTAAACGTTTCCTTGTCACCCAGACACAAATCCCAATGTTGGATGTTCAAGCACCAGAGGAAGAACAGACTTTCAATCCCAAGATCAACCTCACTCCAAAAAAGGTAAAAAAAGGTCTATGAAGAGCAAGTGTAACCCGAGTTAATGCGGTTTCAGACATACGGACGAACAGGCAGAATTTATTGTTTATATATTTGGATTATATCGCTTGTTATCGACTGAGCGCTTTTTGTCAAAAGTTCTGCTAAACTAAAAAATAAGGAAAATTCAAAAATTTTCGCGTATTTTCTCATTTGTATTAATATTATTATTATTATTATTATTATTATTATTATTATTATTATTATTTGTGTATGTTTCCTACTTTTTATCGTGCAGAGCCAGGCCCAAACTATGTTCCTTGAGCCTTATATGACAATTGTCATTCAATTGATAGCACTTTTCTTAGTATATGGTATGTTCCATTTGTATGTTAATGTTACCTAGGACACTGTTACTAAAACTGTCCATTCCTTTTCTCACGGGACCCAGAGATCCGATTGCTATTGGTACAGTCTCAGTCTTCATTTCCCACATTTAGTTAATTTCGATCTCCAGGTTCTTGTATTTGGCCAATATCTCGATAATTTTCATGGAAGTTTTTCTCACAGATTGTACTGCTATGTCAATAAGCATACACTTCCTAAATTTCTTTTCTTTTATGATAATATCAGGTCTGTTGGTATTTATTTACCTGTCAGCTTGAATACTTACAACGTTATTTTGGGTAACTGTGTCTGGTTAGTGCTCATGTCATCTCTCAGTAGTTTCGATTTTGTGCTTTTGCATATCATCCAGATCACATATGTCGCTACTTTGTTATGCTTGTGAGTATCATCATCATCATCATCATTATTATTATTATTATTATTATTATTATTATTATTATTATTATTATTATTATTGTTGTTGTTGTTGTTATTGTTCTAAAAAACAATTTGTGCGCAGATTATACCAGGACTATTAATAAGTTGATAATGTAGACACATTTCGGAATCGGATAACTGTTTTTGTTGTTTCGAGAGTAGTATTCCGTTAACAGAGCAGTTTTAATTTAATTTAATTTAATTTTTAATTTAAAATATTCATTAATGAATTAAATAAATTCTTGCAAAAAGATTATTACGTGAACTATTCAAAATTATACTGAAATCTGATATGTGTAATAGACAAAATCAAAGAAATATATTTGCCGAAATTCAGAATTCAGGACTAAAGAAAACATATTGGGACTTAAAGTAGAACTAATAAGACTACAGATCATTGCGATAAATATGAACGTATATTACCTTAATTAATCCAATATAGTGCTAACCATTTTTTCTAGATATTAAAACGTAAAATTTAAGGTGGCATAACTTTTATTTCTATTACCGTCGAAACAATTCAAAATTCGTTGATAATTTTTGTCTTACCTACTTTAAGATTATTTTTGCCGCCATCTTGTTGCGTTCTTGTGCGAAAATGTCTACTTGAAATACTTCGTGGATTTTGTGCCATAATGCGTATGCAAACTATTTACATTCTTACTTTCCGTCGCTGCAAACCTCATAAAACTTGAACAAATGGTAAATTTAATTTAAATTTAATTTTGTAATTTCGAAAAAAAAAACATACATATTATACACCATCCTGAAATTACAGATACGTATTACTTGAGTGCGTCTTATAGATGAAGAAAAGTTAAAAATCAAAAAAGTACAATTGCAAGATTATTATTATTGCTATTTTTTATTATTATTTCACCAGTATTTATTCCTTTTTTTCATTTTGCTTTTACCATCGAAACTCGTACATGACAAAAAATTTAGCAATAATTTCAAAAATACTAAATACTATAAGGATTTCAACAAGTGTCATTGTGTTGCAAAAAAAATCTAGTAAGTCAAAATACTGAGTTTTCTTCTTCTTCGTCGTTGTCACCATCGTCATCTTCAATGTACCATATACGTTCAGGACATAGGTGATCATGGCTCTCCGCAAATTCCTTGCTTTTATAGTTCTTAATAATTTTTAACATTTCGTCTCTCCTAAAACTTGTTGATCCGCCATCCATTTACTCAAAGCTCACTAAGCGTTATTTCCCTTTCTCCCACTTGTCTTCAATCTGTCCTTTGACTATCAGATTTTTCAAGCACCACTTCCTTATTATGTGCACCAGAAATCTCAACTTTCTCTTCCTGATGTCAAGTATTTGTTTTCCATTTTCTCCAAAACTTCGTCGTTGCTCACACGTTCAATCCATGGCATGTTCAGCATCCTTCTGTAGAACCACATTTTTGTGGCTTCAATTCTCTACTTCATATGTGAGGAGATTGTCCAGCATTCCCTATCATATAGCAAGGCTGATATTGCATAGCAGTGCAGTACACTTTTCTTTGTTTCTAACGACGTTTCTTTTGTTTCTTAATACTCTGCTTAGTATTAGGAATAGATCTTTGCCGATCACAATGCGACCTCCGTTTTCAGTGTTGGACTTTTTGTCTTCTATTAGAACACTTCTCAGATATTTAATTTGTTGCCCTTGTTTGATTTTGGTACCGCCAATTTATAAGTTACATATCGGGCTGTTCCTTTAACTAACAATAAGTTATTCTTAATGTTGTGGGGCTCTCCCCTTTTTACATAAGATGGACTCGTCCAAAGTATACTTATACTGTCAGAGAGAATACCTACTGTTGAGTGATGTCGAGATACAGTCTCGACGTCTGTCGAACTCTCTGCTTTGTCAGAGAGGAACCCGGACGAAGCTTTACCGAAGGGTAAGGTTTCGTCGGGGGAGATAGACAGGGCCTGAAACTGTCTAGGCGGGTTCAAAGGGTATAATTTTGGTCGAGCCTACGGGCTCGGAGAAACCCACTTTAAACTCGGCCCCGTGCCACATATATTCCTCGTGGGTTGGATATTAAATACCGAGATACGTGGAGATACGTTGAGATACGTGGAGATACGTTGAGACATGTTAAGAGATACGGAGACAGACACAGGGTGTCCTTAGAGAGTTATCCAAGAGTCCAGAGAGAGAGAGAGAGAGAGAGAGAGAGAGAGAAGAAAGAGAGAGAGAGATGATTACGGCTTTACTTACAGAGACTTGTACATACACTTTCTACTAACCCGCATTCCTGGACTACTAATCTTCACTTCAAGTCTGTATTCTTACGTTAATACACTTATTTTTCTATCTCAATTACTAGCGTTGTTTATTTATTTGTGCAGGATTCCATTCCCGGAATCCACAACACTTAATGCAGTGTCGAATTATTGAAACAAAGGAAAACAATTGTATTTTTACAGTATTATTATTATTATTATTGAAAATAATGATAATAAAAGATGCATTAGAAAATTATTTAAATATTTCACCCACGGTCAGCTCTGTGTTGCTATGTCCCGTGTAGAAACTTCAAGTGGAATTAGCATAATGACAAAATGATGTTTAGAAAATAGATATCTCGATGAGAATGTTTTTTGTGACCCGTATGGGTGACTGTTAATGATAAATTACCCCTCATGTCTCCAATGTTAAACAAGTAGTATTTAATTACAAACTGCAAATAAATACGCAAGACAAACAAAAGTAGTAAAAGTCAATCGAACTTATTAACAAATTCAGTGAATACCTTCTTAGTAGCGCAGCTCTGCTTAACATCCAATAGTCACACGATAATCACTGAATAATCAACCGGTAATCCACTCGTAAGCAACTGGTAACTTATAATCGACTGCAGACCGACCAATAATCAACCTGTAGTCCACTCAGTAAGTAGCCTGACTCCGCTATTTATACTTCTGGCGGAACACTTTTTCATAAGTCCAGGGTATCGGTAGTTCTCATTTTCTTCCTATATATGTTTAATACATAAATGTTAGAGATGCAAGAGGGTTTCGATTATAACATTTCTCTGTCCTTCGAACGGGTAATTAGCTCGACAGAATAAATCATACTGAGACTGCAGCTATAGTTAAAGTCATTATTTCACTGGTTATGAGTGATATGAGATTCTGATATCTCTCTAGATTAACTAATTTCTCAATAAAAACAATGTCGAATAAATCTAATTCGATGATACCATCCTGACCAAAGTCTGAATCATTTCAATCGCATTGTTAGCATCGGCGATCAATGGATCTGTGTGGACATCTGAAACTTCATAAAATTTGAAGTTCTAATAGAGTCAGCGTAGTTTTAACATCTTAACACATAGATTTTTTTTATCAAACCATATAGTTTTCTTCTCAGTTACTGACAAGTAAAAACCAGGCAGTCACGGTCATGGATTGAGGCTCGGATTGAAGTATTGGGGATCCGAGCTCAAATTCCAGGTCATTACATTCTCTTACATGCTAATGCTAATTGGGAAAGGCATGAATCCACCGTTTCTCCCTCTTCCCCAGTTATTGATAAATAGCAGGACAGACTAAGGTTCTATAGTCTTGAGTGGCAACCAGTCTAGGAGAAGGAATATTCTGAATGGAAAACTCCCTGTTGCCTTGACGTAGCACATACTATGAAGCTAAGGAAATACTCTTTGGCATTGACTTGTATATCCCGATTATGTTAGTCAAAAAACAGCCTAAGAAATAATATCGGTGTTCACATTCTAACCTATTCTGTTCCTTTTCGTTCTAAGGACATTGTGAAAGGCATGAACTTAAATTCAGTTAGGCGTTAAATAATAGGGTATATTTTACTGTCTAGATTTGAATAGTAACCAGTATCAATGAACTTCTTGTCTGAATCTGAAACCATGGAGAAATTAATGAGAAAACACTCTACAACATTTCCAAAGAAATAACAACGTTTTATAGTAAAAATAAATTGTTATGGATTGCCACCAAGCTGGATAGAAATGGTATTCTAAGAATGGTATTTGAAGTAGAGCAAAAGTGTTTTTCATTTATTATACGATTCAGCTATTTAAATAACCATCGTTATTTATTTTTTGTCTTTTTTTTTAATTGGAACGAGGTTGACTGACTTAACTGTAATTGACGAATTGATCTGAACTTCAATGACCATCGTAGCTTGATTTTAATTGGCTTTCTCCTTATAATCGCATAATTTAACTCAGTGTAATTTATCCGTGGTTCAAACAGTGGTATGAATAGAAATATCAGTTTTAACAGCTCTATTCTATCTGTCAAGTAAGCTCAAACATCTCGAAACAAATTTGTCAACATCTATCTATCTATCTATCTATCTATCTATCTATCTATCTATCTATCTATCAAATAGTTTCTATCATATACTATCCATCTATCTATATTTTACCAATGCCACCATAATTAAAAATGAACAAAATTCTTTACGTAGAAAGTACTTCGATGACATACAAATAACAATTCTACCAACTAGAAACACCCAAGTTCAAACATCCCGAAACAAAATTGTCAAGATACACACACACACACACACACACACACACACACACACACACACACACACACACACACACACATATATATATATATATATATATATATATATATATATTCTCAGTCTGTTTATATCTATCGCTTTTTTCTCAGATTCTATCTATCTATCTATCTATCTATCTATCTATCTATCTATCTCCTCTCAGACATTTTGTAGCATTTTCATTTATCTATAATTTACCAATGCCACCATAATGAAAAAAGAACATAACAGAATTATTATGTAGGATATACTTAATAACATTATTACCAAGTATAAACCCACATCAAAAACATACTATTACATTACCGACATTTCCTAAATCTATTCTTAAAAAGTCTAACGTATGTTTATCTAAAAGAAACGGTATGTACGTAAATATGTTTCCAAAATTAAAGCCATTAGACATAATGTCTACTAGACATACACGCACACATACACACACACTTACAAATATATATTATCATTTGGATGATACATAGACAAGCTAGAATCATTATGCACATACATACATTAAACAATATTTTGCGTGGTTTTAGGTAGATTTTAAACCCGTTATGTTTTTGGCACTTCGAAAAGATTTGTTGTCTAATTTTTGTTCAAGTTGAATGCACATAAAATGTGCTTAACCAATGGAAATCAAACAACAAAATTTTTTTAAAATATCAGAATTTCTTTCTTCTTTTCTCCTATGTCTCATTCCCCAAAGAAACTTTAAGTGAAAAATGTTAGATTGATAAACGTTTCCTATTTGATGTTTATCTCTCTCTCTCTCTCTCTATATATATATATATATATATATATATATATATAAGGAGGCACGATAGAGTCGTGGCTAGCGGCTGGGACTGAGGGAGAGCCGAGTTCGAATTCCAATCGAATGCATTACATTCACTTGGGAAAGGTATGAATCCTCTTCTTCTCCGCCTAGCTGTAAATAATTAGCAAGACAGACTGGGTTCTATAGCCTTGGATGGCAACTCTGAATTCAAAATCTGCGGAAGGTTGTTTGGCGACCTTGTGGCATGTAGCGCACCATGTCTC